ATTCAGCTCGTACGAAGATGCACGATAGAGATATTCGTAGGTATAACTCACCTGATGATAGCTGATTCCCGTTGTGTTGCAACCGTTTGGCTTTGATACAACACCCAGTTTACGAGATATCCTCGTTTCGGGTGAAAAATGGACTGCGTATTCGTCCGCGCTGCGAACGTCGTCAGGGCTGAGACTCATTCTTGCACAATTTTTGAGTCAGCACTGTTGTAGTAATGTTCGTCATATGACTAATGAAAACTCAGTCAGTTATCATCGGAAACGAGGGATGTCTCGTGAACTGCGTTAACTTAAAGGTCGTATTAAAACCAAATGACTCTAGTTCAACGGGAATCAGTCGTGTTCTGTTGAGACCCACCCATGAATCTCTTCACGCATTTTGATACGAAGTGAAAGTCTACATAACAATGAAAATATGTGCTATAGACTGAATTATGATTGATTACCGGTCCGCGCAATATAGAAATTGGGGTAAGAGTGTTAGATATGATTCATTCAAGGGCGAAATGCATTTATGAAGTCCGCATTCTCCGAGGCAGGATATTGCCCCTGTCAAATACTGGAACATTTCAGACTTCTTTATGGATGTAGGAATACGTAATGTGTTCCAAAGTTGCTTTGCGCGAAACGTCTTGAAGGTACCTTAAAAAGGAGAAAGTCTTCTAAATTGTCGCCGATTGTGGGTCTTAATTTGTAAAGACCAGTTGTTTTCACATCCAGCTTATAGCCAAACAGGGCACAGACAGCATCACGATACTCCCGACTGGCTCGATTGAATAGTTCCATTAGGCGGTCATTCCTGTGCTGTTCGCGTTCAAGATTTTCCTTAAGCTCTACAAAAATCGAGAGAAACTAAGTATAAAAATACGCATACCAAATACAAAAGGGTAACCAAAAAACTCAAGTAAGGAGCTTACAGATTTTAGTGTTGACCCCTTGCTCTGATGATTGTCGATATTTGGATAGTATGGATAAACTTAGAGCCAACCACATTTCAAAACATACATCATTGACGAGAATAAATTGTGTTCGAAGTACTCCTAGGACTCCTAGGCTCAGCAACAGATATTATTAATAAGCAGCTACCTAATTAAAGTGAATTTTAGTGTTGAAGCCTAGAACATTAACGGCTAGCCAGAACTGCATAGTTATTTA